CGGCGGCGCTGCCGCTCGGCCCCGCCCTGACCCGGGCCGGGGTTGTGCCAGCCCAGCCGCAGGTGGCGTTCGCAGACCCGGGTTTGCCCGGCGGAGCTTAGCGCGGGAGGCGGCAGGAGCGGACACAGGAAGCGCTTGAAAGCCAAGCTGCGGGGACGCTGCTGATCGCCAGCGTGGGTTCAAACGGACAAGTCTTCTTCGCGAGAAATTCACCCCCTCTGGTTACCCCATTTGTTAAAATCTCAGCAGCAGCATTTGTCTTGCCGTGTGTGTGTGTGAGTGAGTGAGAGTGAGGGGGGAGGGGAGATTTTCTCATGCTATTGTTAAATAGAAATCAGGGATTTGTTAACCAGTCTACCTCAAATCTATCGGATCAGGAGACCCGTGTCTGTCAAAGACAGATGTGCAGTTGCCTCTCCTCTCACGGGGCTGTGCTAAGTGTGTAAAGCTGAAGAAACCAGCGTGCTTTGGGTACTCTGTCTCCCCCCGAGGCTGTTTGTGTCGATTGTGAATTAAAGATTTTTGTTGCTTTGGGTGATGCGCCAGAAGAAGCTTAGTGCTCGGCACACACTTGAATGCCATCCGCGGCTGTGTGTTTCTTGTGGAGGGCGTGTGTGCGCGGCAAGACCGTGTGCAATGCAGCGTGGAGCCCGGTGTATAAAATGACTGCATCTCTGGCATGCGCGTGGAAGAAGAATGCGTCTCAGGAGAGCTTGTGCCCAGGTGGGAAGTGGCCTGAAATAGACAGACCGAGATTACTGCTTTTTTAGAACGGGCAACGGAGGAGCATCTCTGCTCCCCTGTTCCGTGCAACGCGCTGCCTCCGTGTGCGCTCTCTTTCCTCTTGCGCTTTTTGGCAAGGAGCAGCTGCCTGTGTTGATAAATGTTGATGCTACACAATCTGTCGACAACCGGGGGGGGGGGGGGGATGTGGGGAAGTCCTGTTTTGCAATGTGTCAACTCAGCTGATCTTTTGCAACAAGGCCTAGGGGGTACGTGGGAAGGAGAAGAGTGAGAGAGAGGGAAGGAAAAGGGTTGAAGAAAGAGGGCAACATGGATAAACAGGCTGGGCATCGGTGGCAAGGCGTGGGGGCTGAGCGGAAGCATGCTTTGCAGGACGTGGTGTGTTGGAGCAAAAGAGTCCTGGATGTTATCTGCTTTCGTGTCAGTAGTTTTGAGCCCCCAAAGCAACACAAACATGCCTAAAAATAACTGCGCTAACCCACCATTTCCGAACACAAAGGCCTGCTTTAAAAGATTAATAATAATCTTGCTCTACCATACAAAGACGTTGCAAAGGCCGCCCAGGGATTCCTGCGCGGGATGGAAGAAGAGAGTGCTGGGAAAAAACCACACTTGAACTGGATCTAGGTCTTGCCTTGCCTGGGTGGGTTCCCACAACACCTGAAGCCCTCGGCCAGGCTTGGCAGCGCCCCGTTGCTCTTCTCCCCTAGCAAGCAGGACCCAAGAAAGAAATTCACGCTGTTGTGGCTGATGAATGCGTGGTCTGGTTCATGCAACCCCACAAAGCACATTAGTTTTAGGCTGGCTTAGGGTGCTGGGTGCATCCAACCACAGCGTCCTTCCGGCTGTCCTGGGCTAACTTCACAACAGCCCTGTGAGGTGGGTTGGGCTGGAAAAAAAGCAGCCGGCTCCAGACTGCTGATTGCACTCTGGTGATTTGAGTCTCTCCCATCCCGCAGTCTGCAGCAGTAGTACAGTATTGCTCTGCTGGATCTTTCCTCATTTGCCTGCCCCTTTTCATGCCGAGTAGGCGTATGTGGTGCTCCTGCTGCTGGGTCCTCACAACGGCCCTGTAAAGTCAGCCAGACTGTAAAGCATAGCTGAGGGCTGAAGGGAGGTGGGAGCTCCGCAACCCTGGTCCACCTTTCTCCAAGCTGGTGGAGACACAGGTTGAGACCGGGATTCCCACGCATTCCTGCAGGTAGTATTTAGAGGACAGTTTCAAAGCAAAGCTGCCAAGGAAATCGCAAAGCATGTGCTCCTGTGTGGCTGCCAACGCATCTTGAGGGCCAGCCTGTTGCTGGGCTCCGTAGCAGTGCCAGGACTGAGGGACCTTGAGCAAAAGGCCTGGTGCCCACCCATCTCTCTGAGCACTCATTTCTGTAAGTTGATCTCTGTCCAAAAAACTTTTTGTTTTTTCTCCTTCCCTCTCCTTCCTTCCTTCCTTCCTTCCTTCCTTCCTTCCTTCCTTCCATCCATCCATCCATCCATCCATCCATCCCTTCTCTCCATCTTTCCCTTCCTCCCTCTTTTAAGTCCCTCTCTCTCTGCTACTCAGCAATAACTTACTGCATTTTCTCAGAGACCTTTAGCGACACCCAGGGCCACGGCAGCCTCCGCCTTTCCCCACAACAACAACTCAGTGAGGTTGGCTTGACTGAGAGGCGTGCTTCGCTGGCTCAGTTAAGACTTAAGAACTACAGGCCTGCAACGCATGAAACTGAATTCTGATCTTGGTTTGATGTTCTGTTTATTGTGGCTCTGAATGTAGGGTAAACCCAGCTTGTTTGCTTGGTTTAGGGTTTGGGAGTGACCAGTGTGTGTGAATGAAGCCAGCGTGTAGCCGCCGGGCCCACCTGGATCTCGTTCTACTCCCAGGGCAGTGGACTCCCAGATGCACTGGACTGCAACTCCCATAACTGAAGCCCTGCAGGGGATGCTTGAAATTGTAGTCCAGTGCATCTGGAGGGATTCAGCTGGACAGTGGGCTTTCTACGCACACCGATGTGGGCAAGGGTTGGGTGCAGATAGTTTTGTGAAGGATTGCTGGGGCTCTCTCTTAGCATCCCACCCCCCAACAGGTTTTGCACCTTGTTCCTTGCTTCAGCAGGACCTCTGGGCCCTTATTTGGCCTCAGGAGCTGTGCAGAGTTGCCTTAATTAGTCCTTGGATGGGAGGTCACAAGGAAATCCCACTCCCTTTGAAGCCTGCAGGAGTTGAACTCAGATCCAAGGTTGTTTTTGTCTTTTTTGTTTCTCTTTAAAACCATGACAATCAGATGTTGCACTTCCAGAGTTCATGGGTGTGAAGTGGCGAGGGGTGCGAGTTGCCCAGGCCCCTGTAGGCCATCTCAGAAGAGGGGGTCTGTGGCTCAGATCTGCAACTGAGATGACACCCTGCCATATTTCAGATCTGGCCTGTTGCTTCAGATCCCTCACAGCCGCCACAGCAGTGGAACGGCTGGATTCCCACAGCATGCTTGACCCAGTGCCTGAATTCACCCAGTTCCTGGGTTCAGCCAGTGTGCCAGCCCAAGCCCCAACCTTCCCCAAGGGGGCTGGGTTGCTCAAGAGGTGACACTGGCAAAACCCGCCCCCAGGTGCAAACACACCATGCCCTGCGTGTTGCACGAATGCAGCCGCCATGTCCCGTTTGAAACGCGTGCTCTGTTTCCCTTTGACTTCCGACGCTGGGGGGTGCACCCCACGTGCGGCAGCTTCTTCCTTGCAGCTGAACCCCTTCTGCTGAATTTGCTCCTGTGAAGAAGGAGTCGGTTTGGGCCTGGAGTTCCGGCCAGGCGGCCTTTTGGGAGGCTGGACATCCTTCTCCCCTCTGTCAGTCCTGAGTCATGCGCTGGCAAAGCCCCCGGCTCTTGGTGCGCCCTTCAAGCATTCCACAGCTGCTTCCCTTGCTCGGGACGAGGAGGCTGGACGGGCGCGCATGGGAGAGAGGGAAGGCGTCTCCACCAGGCGAGGGTGTGTGTGTGTGCACACGTGTGTGGAACGCCTGTGACTTTGCACCAGCATTCTCCAAGGACACCAGAGCAGACTCTTGTGCTTGGAGCCCTTACGTGTAGGAGGAGGCGTGAGCACTGGCTGAAGGCCAAATACATGCCTCCCCAGCTTTGCTTCTTGGAGCCACGTGTTCCCGCATATTAGAATATTATTAGAATATTGGGAGATTTTCATCCTGACGCTTCCAGGGGACGCAAGGCTGCCTGGCGCA